GTTTTCGCTGTTTCACTACATTTCTTGTACTCAGTCACTGAAGCTGCTGTGAAGCCATGAAACTACAGCCTCTGCTGCCACTGAGAGGGTAGCACTACTTTGACCACTCTGGGACGAGTATGTGAGACTCAGAAGACAGATTCTGACAAACCATCAACTTTGAGGACTGAATGTTCACTTGCTGACTAATATACCCGCCACAACGAGATACTCAGCACAGACACACAACGAAGCCACAACAGTTAATCAACCAATCTGCATTTGTCATTATTGTTGATCAAGTAAAGGTGTCGATTTGATGAAATGTGATTTGGTGACTTTCTGGTTCTTCCATGACAGTAAATATTTCTGGATTTTTGGTTAAATGTGCCACTGTTTTCTGATGCTTCATACACCGGACGATTACTGACCGATGAAAACGGCTGTTAGCTGCGGCCCTGACATTGTTAGGGCTGCAAACGCTGCTGAACAGAAACAACATCATACATCTTAAAATGCTCTTCAGACCCAATGCGTTTCCCTCTTCCAGCGATGACAACGGCAGAGCATACCTGGATGACGAAGGTCTTGTCGTGGATGCCAGGACACAACCCCAGCTGGCTCATGTAGGCCGCCTCACTGATGAAGTTCTCAATGCCGTGGAAAACGCCTCTGCCGGTGGCGGAGATCCGACCATGGATCCCTCCCTGACTGATGGGCTTCCCGGTGACGCAGGCGTAAGCGTTGATGTCCTGAGAACAACACAGGAGGTTTGTACGACAGTTTCTAAAATATGTAAAGCAGGTTAGAAACACTGTGAGCAGCCTGAAAGGCCACAAAAGAGGAGCGTTGCAACACATTTCAGGCTGCGCCTCCTTCAAACTTTGACTGTTAGGATATTCACATCTATCCGCTGGAGCTGAATACGACTAGTTCACCCCTTGGTTGGTTGTGGTTGGCTCAGAATTCTCTTTATTTGAATGAGAGGAAAACAGAATGCCAGTTGGTCCAAAAGCAGGCGCTCGTGGTGGTACTGATCTGGACTGTGGATCTCTGGCTCCACAGTTGCACGTTGCCACAGAAAAACCTGGGGTGATTTCTGATGGTATGTTAAATTTTGAGAAGCTAATCAGTGCAGTAGTTAAAGCGTAGTATCAGAGTATCAACAGCCCAACTACCGAGGCTTCCAGACTAGACACTGGGGTGACTGAGAATTTGCTGTAGTAGCCCCCAGGGTGTGGAATGGTCTGCCCAATACCATCAGATTTGGGATCTCTGTGAAAACAGGCAGCCGTGAATACTGTTTGTCTTAGTTTTTGCTGACAGACTTAACACAATTTGTGGCCGTTTGATCGCAACTTGTTCAAGACTAAATTAAAAGTTGTATGAAAACAAAAAAGTTCAAAGAAGCATGTCAAGGGTTTCTGAATTCGTGGGCACGATGACAGAAAACCTGACAGGAGGCAGAAGGAGATATGATCCACGTCTCTGTCAGCGCACATTCACAGTGAGAGGCCTGAGGTGGATGACTTTGAGTCAGACAAAGAGAAACTGACAGAGAACCGTCTGATCAGAGGGAGGAAGAAGAAAAGTCCCAACACTGGATTTTGTGTCTGATCCTGTCCATTAACTCTCAGCTCGGTCGACATCTCATGCTCCCACTGTGCAGAGACGGTGAGATATGCCTTCATGTCCCCTGTATAGCCTGTGGTTCTCAGTTGTAAACCTAGAGACTCACATTGTGTCCCATGGTGGTGGCAAAGGTGTCTGCGATCCAGGACATTTCCCGCTCCCCTGTGCTCATGTCTGGAGCAGGAACATCGATCCCAGGCCCTGCACAGCAACCAGTCACACAACAAACTGATGATGCACAGACGTGTGACAAATACAACATGAAGAGTCTGAAAATGTGAAGGTGGTTCAGTCTTTGTGCTGCTTCTTCAGACTGATGCTGAGCTCTGCTGGAGGGATCAGCACCATTAGTACAAAAGATACTCCCTCATTTGGAGGTGCTCGGCTGGCCACAGCTGGAAACCCGTCACAACATACTACACACATTGTAAAGGTGCTGAAACAGGTGTAAATGGCAGCTGCGCTGGTCCAGTCCCGGTCCAATCCAGGTCAAAGAGCTCGTGTTGGAGGATGATCGGTGTGAATTTTCATTTTGACTGATTATGCATAAATATAATGAAATATGTGGAATTTAAATGGAAGACTAGTTATTGCTGGACTTGTTCTGACATCTGGTGTTTGTGTTAGGTCTGTGCTGCTGATTTGAACTGAAGTTGTTTTTGCTTCAACATCAGCTCCACTGTGGACACCGGCCAATGAGCATCCAAGAAATTATCAGTGGACAAGAAATGAATGAGAATGGAGACTGCCTGGGAAGATAAATAAACCCAATTCACATCAAACTCTGAGCAGTGTCGAGCCAAGTGCACACTTAAGGGCAACAAAGGAGCACGCGCCATATATCCACACTAGTCAGGATGGGGGCCCAGACAGACGTGTGCCTCCAGGTTTGTCAGTGTAGAAACCCACAGTCTGAGGGATTTACACGTTGAAATCAGTGTCTGTGGACACACCAGGGTTTGAGGTTTGTTATTTTATTTTCCCATCGGCTTTATAAAAACGTGTGTGTCTGCTAAACCGAGGAGCTGCTGAGGGTGCTCACCCACCGATGAAGCCTTTCTTGGCGAGCTCGATGGTGAACCTCCTGGTGATTTTCTCCAGCTCCGAGTCCTGGAAACACACAAACATATCAGATGTTTAACTTCTGTTTGTCTGTGGGGTACACATGATACAACATGCAACTCTGTGACATTTAGGGGTGCTGCTACGTGGACAATACAATGTGGATGTGCACTGTTAGTCTTTAGACCCGCTGAGCCACATGTGAAGGAAGAGGCCTGACAGGGACCCGGGCAGGTGTGAGCTGCAGCGTGTAGCAGGCCTGACACGAGGCTCTGCCAGCTGATGACATCCTGGCTGACATCACACAGCCGCACACTCTTTGCCAACAATACCTGAATCTGATTAGCAGTTGGTTTAGAAACTGGAGTGTTGAGGTGGGGAAACACGAGTCTGTCTGAACTTACTGAGTAATTCTTGGGGTTGATCTTCACTCCAGCTTTGGCTCCACCAAACGGCACATCTGGAAGAAATTCACTTTAGTGTGATACCCACTTAAACAGCAGCTTCGCTACACAACACTATGTAAAACAACGTGTGTGTTTACTCACCGACAACAGCACATTTGTACGTCATCAGCGAAGCCAGAGCTTTCACCTCATCCACACACACATCTGTACTGTAGCGGATACCTAGAACACACAGTCAAAGTCACATCTGTAACATCTGTACAAGTTCTCAGACGACCTGGTCCAAGGTCTCTGTCCTCAGGTCCTGTTGAGGTCAGACTTCTGATGGTGTCAGGACACCTTCAGGAGGTCTGTGCAGTCCACAGCTCAGTGAGTCCAAGGGGACGTCCACAGTACCAGGTTTTAATGTTGTGGCTAATCGGTGCGCTTTCCTACAGACTCAAGTGACCTGTACAGGTACAGTACACGGAGCTCCTTCATACATTTGGTCTGTCACAAAACATTCTACCGACCAACATTAAAGTCTGTTCCCTCTGCAGCTGAAAGGAGCTGCCTGTGGAAAAGAGGAACAGACTAAAAGTGGAGGGAGCTCAGCCTGAATGTGATCCAACAAGTCAGGCCTGCTCACACATCACTGGAAATACAGCCAGCTGCGGGGAGACGCACCAAGTGGCTGCAGCTCGAGGCACCAAGTGGAAAAGCTGCATTGTGACAAACATGGGTTAAAAGTTAAATTATGATTATTTCTTTAGGAGCGCGGTGGGGGAAAACACAGGGTAATGGACGAGGACAGAAAGCACAAAGAGAGAACAGGAAGGGAGAAGAACACGCTGAGGAGTGACGGAAAAGACAAGTGCGGCGGAGTCGGAGGCAGCACAAAGAGCAGGCATCGGTCAGGGTGGGGTCACCTCTGCTGAAAACAGGCTGAAGGAGCAGCACAAAGACGGTCACGCTCCCTCAGGTTCACTGTGGTGACTGTGTCTTCAGTGCAACATGACCCAGTCACGCCCGTCACCTGCTCTACCAGCTCTGACATTAACATGCACACGTCCCGCAGGTGTCTGCTGATCTCACTCCCCCAGAGATGACAAAGTAGCTTCAAGCCTTTACACAGGCTCTAGTTAAAAAAACAAAATAAATATCGTTGTTTAGTCGAGGCCCAAAAAGCACACAGATGCAAAACTCAGCTGCTAAGTATTAGGAGTTGGATTCACTGGAGGACTATAAAAGTCAATTTAACGTCACGGAGCAGAGGCTTTGCTTCCTGGGTCAATGTGTGTCGTGTAAAATTATGTGTGTTGTCATATCAACTGTTTTTACATGCTTGAAAGAATAAATCAAATCAAATCAAATCAAAATGTGTTGCTGTAGCAGCTCCCTGGAAGGTGTCATACATCGTGGTTTCAGTTTGTCTGTCCCTCAGGTTCTCGTAAGCGCGATATCTCACAACACCTTGAGAGATGACCCGATTGGAGTTTAGTGGTCAAAGGTCGCTGTGACCTCACATCTGTCCCATTCCCATGAATCTGGCAGGTTGGTGGAGGCAACAACCACGAGGCAGTCCTTCTACTTTAGGTGACAGAGTTAGACTTTTAAGCTGTGAGTGTTCAACATCAGGGTCAGATGGGACGGTGTTTTCACTGAGTACACCACATTTGTTCTTGCTTTTAGCCTCTGGATGGAATTTAAGCAAAATAACTACATACAGAGTCACCGACTTTAAATCAAAGGTGCAAGACTGCCACATATGACACTACTACTACTTGTGCAGCCCTGGCAGCTCAGTCAAAACCAGAGCCAGGTTTCTTCCTAATGAGCCTTTTCCCATGGAGGACATCACAGTGCAATGGGGTAATCGTGTCTCACATTTCTGAACCCTGGGTGGCGTGCTGGAGACATCCCCTCACCGCTGTCAAGGAAACAACTACCGAGTGTCCACAGCCTCGACCTGAGTTTGGATCGGGCCTCGAGGCAGGGAAGAAGAGCCAAATCAAAGGATAGGTGGCACAAGGAGCGCCGTGCACTCTTCTAAATCTGCTGTGTAAACACCAGACATCGTTCACCTGCATGTGTTGTGTCTACACACACAGACAATCTGGGGAAATGCACAGGGTTTAAACTGCTGAAGGTCATGGTTCGTTCACTGCTGATCTACTCAGTAGTGCTATTCTACCGGCCCGTGTAACACACATACAGTATGTAGCTGCAACATGCAGTGTAGAGCTGCAGCTTTTGATCATCAATTCATCTGCCGATTATTTTTCTGAGTCGTTTAGTTTATAAAATGTCAGTATTGACAAATGTTGATTTGTTTCCACAGCAAAGTCTTCACTCACCGTGTTTTATCCCACAAAATGTCAATACAACCTACAAACATTCTTCACTGTCATATCATATCAACTCAGACACGCTACAAATATTTGACATTTTGTTTGAAAAAGCATAAAATTATTCAAGTATCAAAATAGATGCAGGTTAATTTTCTGTTGATCAATTAATCCACGTCTTGTTGCAGCTAAAAGAAAAACAATTAATCTATTAATTTACTGATAATAAAAATAAGCATCAGATCAATTGGCAACACAGTTACATCTCTGTTGCAGACGACACAGCTGATGAGATGCACGTTGGGTTCACGTTCACCTCGGCCACCTGCAGAGGTCAGTATCAGATCTGTGGTCTCAGTGAGGCTGCAGCCTTCTGCTCACGCGTGTACATCTTTAAAAAAGATAAACCAACTAATCCATCCATACATTTCTGATACATTCAGCACAAACAAACCAACATTCTGAGCTTCACAAAGACAGAAGTTAATGGCAGTGATGTGGTGTCGGATTTTATTCAGTGGTACAAGCTGAGCTGCATCGACTGGTCGACAGTTATCTTTTGTTTTAAATGCCCTCGTCTGGACTGAAATGCTCTGTGTAAATACACTGATAAGCACTGACAATAAACACCCGGCCAGGTTCATAATCACACTGACTTTTAGCTCCTGGGTTAAAGCATCTCTTCTCAGGTTTAGACTGATTTTTGACAACATTCTAAACAACATTTTACATTTGATGACAATGCAACAAGACAAGGAACCGTCAGCACACGTCCGTTTGTTCAGGATAAAGCAAACAGACCGTGTGCAGGGACACGCAGTCAACTGTCTTCATTCCTGCCAGGGGAGGAAATGCCTCCACCTTCAATAAACCTGGCGCACTCAGCACATACACATTCACACGTATGTTACCACGCACGCTCCTGAGATACTGACACTATCTGCTCCTTACTACAGGTGAAACAATTATTTGATGAGTTACTCATCAGCTCAGCAACCCAAAGTGAAAACACAACATAGTACATTTTAAATCTATACTTACTTTTCGTGGTATTTTTGTGTGCTACTGTTACTTTTGCTTAAGTATTCACGATTCAGAAAACTCTTACTAGATCATGACATGTGACCTTCTGCCCAAGGTCAAAACACAGGAGACCAGCACATGGATGGTTCTCCTGAGGATCGGACGCCATGTTTGGATAATAATAATAATAACAATAATAAAGTTTTAGTCAGTAACTGTGTGAAGAACTGGGCACAAAGCTTCTCCACCGATGCAGACACCACAACAGGGCACTAAGGGAAAGGATTTCCAGCAGACTGTTGCTGTCTCTCTACTGTGCGCGCACTCTGCTCATGTCCAGCACTTTAAATCTGGTGCAAAATATCCAACACAGTATTTGTGAAGTCATAATCAACAGGTGAACCAACATCTCAAGCACTGAACATACTGTAAGCACAATTCTAGGTTTACCTGAGTACTTCCACGTCCTGCTCCTTCATCCTGTGACTCCATGTCAGAGACAAACCGTGTACTTTTTACTACACTACATGTACCTGATACCTTCAGGTCCAGAACCAGATGAATCAAACCAAACCCAGTAGAACCATCAGACTCTATTGATCCCAGTAGGAAATCCACCAGCTACCCAGTAGGATGTAAAGTACTTCCCAGTATAAGTATATAAGGTAGTTACCATCAGCTCCACCTTTACCAGCTGCAGCATTAAAGTGATGGACACAGTAATTAGTCACTATGATCCAGTATCAGAGACGTTACTGGGACACGGGCCGTTCTGCAGGACGAGTACTGGTACTGCTGGTACTTTAAGTACATGTTGATACCTTTTAGTTAAGTAACATTCTGAATGTAGGACTGTTACTTGTAGCAGAGTATATAACTGTAAACCCTGACTACCTTTACTTAAGTAATCGTGTTAATGCACATGTCCCGGATGATGTGCGGGTCTCACCTCCCTTGCAGGGCATCCGGTGCTGGCTGTGCTGGGCCCGGTAGCCCTCTATCACCTCCCACTCTCCGTTGTCTCTCCTGATGGGGAAGCAGACGCTCAGGACGTGGTTACACGGCTTGATGATCCGCAGGATCCCGCGGACCTTCTTCTTCTTCTGCTCTGGGCTCTCACGGGTCTTCAGGTCCTCCACCAGCTTGTCCTCCACGATAGCGGAACCCCGATCAAAGAAGCCCTCAACCATGGTGAAAAAGTTGGGGTCGTCGCCCCGGTCCACGGCCTGGCTGTAGCCACGGGACCGCAGCAGGGACGCGGACACAGGGCGAACAGTGTCAGCGGCAGAGCAGCCCGACGCCAGGATGCTGCCAGCTCCCCGGGTGAGTAGCTCTCCGAAATACCGGTGCATTTTAGGATCTTATTGAAATTCACCGCCCCGGGTGATATTATGAGCTGAATTAGACAATAACAGAAAGCTGGGGAAGACGAGGAAATGGAGCGGAGGAACTAAGTCGTACCGCAACAGCGGCTCCTCCTTGCCGCCGCCTCTTCCTGTTATACTTCACAGCGGCGAGCGTGGAAAAGTCGTGGGGGTTAGCTGAACGTTAGCACTTTAAACCTGTTTAAATACCCGTAACAGCTCTATAAAGTATAGAAACCAACGCCGAATGGAGTAAAGGGTGCTTATAAAAAGAAACGCGCCTCTAACATGTACATTTTTAAATTATTTGGCATTTTCTAGAATGTGATCGTTTAAGCTAGCGTTAAGCCAGCTAGCATAGGATACGGACAAGAGAGACTTCCGGAAATGCTTTTCAAAGTAAAAGCTTAAACTGCTGATTTTCCCGGAGCTTTGAAGATGCAGATGAAAGCTGAGACTAAAAAGTTAGTAAGTAGCTCTTGAGTAAAGATTTTTTGTCACTCCTGTTTACATTCAGTTAGCTAATGGACACAACATTGCTCAGCAACGTTTGTGAGATTTTCTAAGCTAAAATGCCAAAAATGTCCTTGTTCTTATGCCTATTACCCTGATGACTATAGTCTTAATCAATAATTAACTGATTAAATGCCACTGTGATAAATATTTCCAGTATAACACACCACAGTACAACATCTGCAAATGTCCAAAACCCACACATATTTTGTATGTTTGCAGTAAATCATCCTGTTAAAGAAGCTGAAGAAATGATGATTGACATTTGTCTTGATTAATTGATTACTAGTTTTGACCTCCTGGGTCCAGGAGTCTGAACCAACCTGCTGTCTGGTCTGTTGGATTCTGTCCTTTCACATTATGCACTGTGGAACAGTGAGATGAGACAGCCAGGTGTAAACCTCAGTTTCCCTGAGCTGAGCCTCACTGTTCACGGGCCGCCACCTCCCCCAGCATCCCGCGCTCTGATTGGTGGAGCGAGTCAGCAGCTCTGCTGAAGGAACATTTTCGGCCTGGTTATCATTCCCAGCTGTGAAACACACACCATCTGTATTCATCTACATGATGGGTCCAAGTTCTGTGAACAGATTCTGCTCAGTCACGGTTGTACAACATTTGACATGTTGTTCAGTTTGATAAGAAACTGCGAAAACAACAACAACAGAGCCACTTTCTTTACATTGAAGTCCTGCCTGGGTTTGAATCCCCTAGTCAAGCAGCAGGCTTTGTAAAACATTGCTTAGAACTCTGTACATCTCCAAGAACAGTCTCTTTAATTTTAAAATTATGCAGCAATTTTGTCTTTGTCAGGATAAACTAGCTACATTTGTGCTGCCTGAAACTTAATGATCCCTGAGACTTCCTGCTTTATAAAGACACAGACTGTTTGTGCCTGTTGGAACCATATGTTCTCACTACGTTTCTGTCTTGTAGTGTTATGGTGAAGGCCTGGCTCAAGGAACAGTGGCTGGAGTGGAGAGGCGCTGTGGCTCAGTGGGTTGAAGCAACCGTCTAATAAACAGGATGTCCTGACTTCGAGTCCCAGTGGTGCTTTGATTGTTTGCTTCCTCTAAATGAAGTCAAGTTTAAAACACTGCCACATCCATTTACAGAGAAACTTTAGGCCACCCTTGTTTCATGCAGATTCTTAGGTGATGTGTATGTGGAGCTCTAACATGAGAGGAGAGGAATTGCATGGAGGTAAACAGGGGATCCGGGGTTCATATCCCCGCAGTGCCTCTCTTGGCACAGGTTCCATTCTGTCAGTTATACAACGTGTGTACAGTTTATCTGCAGACAGCTGCTTCTTCATTCACATCCAAAGCAACAAGTACAGTGGTTATTAGAAATAGTTATTGACATTGTATCCAGACATGCAGAACAAAGACATTACTAATATTTGAACCTACAGACATGATGTTGATAAACTTTTCTGTCTCCTCAGCTAACAGCATGTGTGACCAGCCGAAGATCCACATCTTCTTGGGGGCTCCTTCTTCCTCCTCTGGCCTAGCATTGGTTCCCAAACCTGGTCTGGAGGGTGAGGATCACCCCCCTGCTGAGTGGAGCCACCTGGAGCTCACCTGGATGGATGGGCGGCTGAGGCCTGCAACAGGTGAGGGCCCATGGAGATGTTATCTGGATCCTTTGTTTGTTAATCTATGGATTAAACTCATTATTAAACAACATGAATTTTAAACTGTATGCGCTTAAAGTGACGTTTTTTTCTTGGGCTGCATCCTAGTTTAATATTTGGTAAAAAAAGACTCGTGAAGGAGATTTTTTTGACGCAGGGTCACATTTAGCCCATAACTGAACCACTTCATTTTACCCACACACCAAAATCAGTCAAGTAAATTGTTTATTCACAGACTGGTTCAGTGCCCATTCATGTCTGGGTCTCTGGGTCTGAACTGTGTTGACACCACACATCAGCCTCAAATGAATATACACAAAATGAATTATTGTTTTAAGGTTTATAAATGTTTTTTCATGTGGTTTTTGTAGGAAACATTTTGTAACTTGGTTTGTGAAATATTTTACTTAATGTCTTGCTGAAGGGTCTGATAGAGCAAACAATATACAACATGTTACTCAGTGATGTCTGGGAGGTGCATGTGTTCCCTTTGGACAGAGGCAGGCTAGCAGTTTCCCTCTGTTTCCAGTCTCTATGCTAAGCTAAGCTACTGGCTCTAGAGTGGGATCAGTCTGAACATTGACTCTCAGTGGCTTTCTGAAAATGTCAAACTCACTGAAGTGGAATAATAATTTAATAATAATAAAACTAATTTGCTCATTTTTCAGATGAGGCAGGGAATCCAGCGAGATCATCAGCAGAGGAGGAACCAACTGATGAGAAGGACCAAGGTGATCAAACTAACACTGGTCGGGAGGGTTCAGGCTCTAAAGCTGATTGGACCTCAGAGGCGTCTCGAGGATGGGAGAAACCAGCGGGACCGACAGATGAAGAATTGAATCCTGAAAAGGAAGACCAGTGTTCAGCTTCGGTTCTTGAGTATCTGGACAGCTATTTCCCTGCAGCTCAACCAGAAAAACCAGAACCAGAATCGCCACATCGCTCTGAGCCATCTCCTGCCGTTCCTCCTCTGTCCATCCGCACTCAGTACCTCACCACCTGGACTCTGAGCGGGAGTGGCAGGGGGCGCGTCCAAGCGGCAGCCGGCCGAGAGAACACCCTGCCTCCACAAACCCAGCCCAAACACACTCAAACACTGCCCTCTGTGTCCCACTGCTCCCCAGAGCTCTTCAGCCCTGTAACCCCATCCCTCGAAGCCTCCGCTGAGCTCTGCAGCCAGTCTTGCCTGATCCCGAGGGAGGAGGAAGAGGGTGTTGTCCTCCAGGTCACCAGAGACGGGGTGCTCTGCTCCCAGGAGACCGCCCGTGATTCCCCCAGCACATCCCCTGATTCCAAGAGAGCTCGAATCTGCAAAGACTATAGCACTGAAGTGACTGAGGTGGAGTCACACAGCACCGTCAGCAGCGCTGGGCTACGAGGTGCCACCACGCTGCTGGCCCATTGTGACAGACCGGGGGGGTGGCACTCGATTCTGGTGGCGGTGGTTCACCCCTGTCACCTGAAAGAGGTCAAGGTGAGATGTCTTTCACCGCAGTCTCATAAAACCTGAACTGTGAGGTTGACTTCAAATTTTAGAAGGAGAAAAACCAAGAACCACGCTGGTGTCTGGCTAAAAATGGGTTAAAATTCAAAATTAAAATGTGTGTTTGAGTACGCAAAGTGCTCAACGGTCCTTAAAGAAATGTGTAATGTTTAAGCTTCTTTTAACGTTCTCAACTTCTAAACTAAAGGTGAAGACTGGGCCGTCGGCAGGGACTTTGGTTCCACTGGCGTCTATCGTGGTGACAGACCAGTCGGCTGTTGAGATGAAGGTAGTACTGTGGAGGCGAGCAGCGTTCTGGGTGCTGACCCTGAGTCCTGGAGACATCCTGCTCATCACAGGTACAGAAACACACCTGACTCTGTGAACACGCTTGGGTTCTGTAACCCTCCAGAAGGAACAGTCCAAGAGTCACTTCACTGATGAACTGTGTGGTGTGAAATCATGCAGACACAACTATTTCTGTCACTTTCCATGTGAAATGCTGAGTGCAGCACTGGGCCTCATGCAAGAAAAACATGTCACACATTTACCAACCTGGCAATAAATGCAAACAATCCTCACAGATATTTTTAGATGTTTGTCTCAAATGCTGGCATTTATTCAGAATGTGATGTATTTAAAGTAGTTTTACATTTGTTTGTGTGGACTCTTCTTCCTCTCAGAGTGTTTTTGTGTCCACGTTGTTGTCTCTGACCAGGGCTGCAGGTGAATGAAGACAGGTGGAGAGGAGAGACGGTGCTACAGTCGACCTTCAGCAGCAAGCTGCTCAACCTAGGACAGGTCACCGCCTCCACCTCACCACCAGGTACGACTGTTGGGAGAAGTACTCAGAGCTTAAAAGTACTGCATTAAAAACCTTACAAGTCAGTAAAAGTCTGTGAGTATTATTAGTAAAATGTACTTAAAGTATCAAAAGTAAAAGTACCCAGACAAATCAGTAATGAACATAATCATCGGCTGCAGAAGCTTTGTAACATGGGGACTTCTCTTGGTTGCTTTATTTTCTCTAAGTGTAGTGAACTTCTACGTTGCACTGTTTCACATCTGATCCAGAGAAAGTACTGTTCGATCTAGCTAAGACTTAAAATGTCCAACTCAGACCTACAGCTGCTGCACAGTTGGACATTCAGCTCCTCCTCCTCTCATCTTGGCTTCATCAGATTCCCAGCAGCTCTGCAGACCAGTAAACTCTCTCTCTCTCTTCAGCTCCTCAGCATGTCAGTGCTCGCTCTCTCACCTCTCTGTGTGGTTTCCTCCGGGAGCGACACCCCCTGCTGGTGTCTCTGCCTCACCATCCCCTTCAGGACCTGAACCGCCTCCCCTACGCCACCCTGAGGTCATTGAGAGTCAACACACTGGTTCACGCCCTGCTGCGTATCACACACACTCACATCAGCACAGGTGAGTGCACCACAGGTACTGAGTGTCAGGTGTGTGTTCATATCACCAGTGGGATGAACAGGAAACACCTTGACATGGTTTAAAGCCAGATAACGTAGCAGCAGCACAGTTTCAGTCAATAACAGAACCTCTGCTGTGTCAGGTTCCTTGTCCCTTAGATATGGATATGTTGTTAATGTGTCGCTGACTCAGTTATAACTGTGAAATCGGTGACGAACACATGGCTCTCCTCTCATCTGGAGAAAGGACAAAGGGCTAAGTTGGCCGAACATCTTCAGTAAATGTCAGCCGGATACATTAATACACCAACAGTACATGAAGAAGCTGGCTGTAGCTTCTTATGCTTCAAAAACAAGTTAAAACTGTGAGAGAGTCTCAGCTTATGTGGAAAAATTCACATTTGTGAACAATAGATTTTGATAAATACAGATCAGCGGTGCTCCAAGAAGTGATCCCACCGGGACATTTCTGGGTCCCGCAGAGGTTCCTGGGTGATACGGACCTTTTGATTGTGCAGTGTGTGCCTGTGTGCCTGTGCGCGTGTGCGTCAGCATGGCGGAGTGAGGCTGAGTCTCGCTGCAGGTCGGCGGTCCAGCTGAAGGCGGTTCTGACTGTGGAGCAGGCGGGTGGCCAGCAGGGGACGCTGCTGCTGTGGGGAGTGGCTGTGAACTGGCTGCCTCGCTTCAACCAAAACAAAGGTACAGGCACACATTAATGATAGGTTGGCATGCAGTCCACTGAGTTTCTTTAGGAATGTATGTTACAGTAAACAACCAAACTGTTTGTGCTCACAGTTAAATAATGTGAGAGATCAACCAAAATCCAATACCAGGCAGGTTCCTAGGGGTCATGTAGTTAAAGAAAAACCTAGAACAGATGTCAGGTACAGATCTGTAATGGATAGAGCCATCACAGTGTGGACTATGTTCAGTGTGAATCAGCCTGTAAGGCAAGTTTTAAATTAATGAAAAAACATATTAAAAATAACCCTAACACTAAATGACTGACTTGAATGACTTTCATAAAGGGTTAGTTCACCCAAATCACAAAAAGCTTTGTCTTGTACCTGTTGTGAAGCCATTTCCTTCCATCCTCTGTCCTCCTCAGCGGCTGTCTGGGACTTCCACATCCTCCTGGTGAGAGAGGGTTTGACCTCTGACCTCATGGAGCTGCACTCCACTCCCTGGACCTCTGTCCAGCCTCTAGACCCCACCGACCGCCGGGCACAGGGCTTTCACCCACTGAAACTCGTCCAAGCAGGAAACAGCAGCAGTGTGGAGCTGGACCTGGACACGCTGCTGTCCCAGAAATACAGTGGTGAGTCTGAGAGGAGTGTTGTGTCAGTGTGCAGGGTGAAAATACCTGCTGTCGGGCTTTGTCAGCGCTATAGCCCACTCCAGGCTTCAGACTGATCCTTCAGGTCAAACGGTACCAGACGCGTTTAGAGACACAGAAGCAGTGGGTTTAGTTTTACAAGCTGTGTGTGTGTGTGTGTGTGTGTGTGTGTGTGTGTTTCCTGGCAGTTCCTTCACAATAAAAGCTGCTACACACATTCACTGAGGATAATCTGCAGTGATCACACATGCACACTTGATAAAGGTTCATAAAGTTATAGCACAACTGCCTGTAGGCTTTTCTTGTAGTGGGTAAGAACAGGATGTTATTGATGCATGTTGATGGTCTGACTGTGATGCACAGTCAGAGACGACATTTGTTTTTACTGCATATCATGTAATGAATCATATGAAATATTCTTTTAAGGATAAATGAAAACATTTAAATAAATGTAATCAGGAAATTGAATTTCTACCTCACACTTGTTAGTTTGAGATATTTGCATGTGTGAGACTAATTTTGCTCTGTCCTCTGCCAGGTGACGTGGAGCTTAGAGTTCAGGTCACTGCCTTCCACTTCCAGGAGGGCCCACCTTCCCAGAATGCACCTCAGCCAGTCCTCGATAGCTCAACGCCACTAGCCGGCATCCTGGAGGCACTGAGTGGCCGCTGCCCCGCCGAGCTTGATACGGATGCCAATGGCATCTGTGGCCCCTGCTACCCCTGCCTGCCCCACACCGGTGTACGCCGCTACTACAGGTACAACTGATGTCGTTACAATAAGTATTAGTTTGCATTTGCTATTTCAGGAAATCTTGTCTTAGTAGAGTAAAAGATGAAAAATCTTTGTGTATTCAGAAAACAGTTGTGTTGTATAATCACTATATTAAAAGTGTAGCTAGAGGATGATAAACTTTAAAAGTGTGTGTGTGTTTCAGGCCAGGTGTGTTGACAGTGAGTGGGCAGGGCAGCCGTCAGGTGTGTGTTCAGGTTCCCCCTGTTCCTGTGCAGAAGATCCTCGATGCTCCACCTGATAAACTCAACAGGAGGTCAGGTGAGCTGCAGGTTTTGGGACTGAAGAAGATATAGTCTATGAGGTGATGGATTCACCCTTGGACACTGTTTAGAGTTCACCAAGGTTTTTTACCTCTCAGCCCCAGGTTCTGAGGTGAAGCATATCCAGTTAGCAGCAGAGAGGATCCAGAGCCTCCTCTCCCTCCCACAGAAAACCTTCATCATCACTGTCCGGAGCAACTTCTTGTGTGACGAGAACAGCGTCCCCATCCATCAGGACCTGATGCTGCTCGACCTTCAGTTCCCCAACTGATGGATGGCGGCTGAGGCGGCTGACTAGTCACTGAGCTGTCCACTAGTGAAGCTTCCTCCACGTGTTGTAGAGCGGTGGGCGTAAAGTTTGCAGGTCGGTGTCCATGTTTTGTCTTTCCCCAGACAAAATACACAGGAGCAAAAATGTAAGGAATGTGTTAAATGCTATTTATCTGCTCTAATGTTAGCATGTCCAGCTAACTAGCTTTATCGTCTACAGTAAAACCTCCAAGGTATTAAAGAGTCTGCTTTAAACCAACTGTGGCAAGGAGGCGTGTGTTAATGCAGGGCCCAAAGCCGAAACCACTATATTAACTGATTTATGACAATGCCACCCTTGGGAATTTCACCCCAGGAAAGGTATCAACCTTACTAACCACTAAAAATCACAGACTAAATGTTGCGAATCTTAGGATGCATTTAAATGTCAAACCTGCCGCATTAAGCCTGGACAGGTGTAGCAGTAACTATGGCCAGTTGTTAAACCAAATCCAAACTGTGGTGATGTCTGGGACAGAATTATCAGAGAATATTTACACATGGGATTTAATTCACATTGAAGCTCGTTTGACAGCTGAGATATTTAATCAGTTAATTAATCAATTCGTGTAATATTTGATATTTTGTCTAAAGAATGGCACAGATGAGTAAAAACACTTTTAAAATTCAAGAAATTGATGTTAGTGTGGTGTTTATATATAAAGATGACCTCTTGCTAATGAGACCAAAATCAAATCTGTATCAGTGCTTATTGAATATTGTCGATATTTAACCAATAACAAATGAGCCTGCTCAAAGTGAGTTTCTTTTTATTATGGCGTTTATTTGTTTTATCACTTGTTGACCAAATAAAATCACATAATATACCCCCCACTCTTGATTCATTGCTTGCAGTAATAGTGTTTAAAAACACGTTGCGTCTGGATTATGCAAAATAAATGCGACATTTGTGCAGAAAATGCAATAATGGGATCTCTGGGTACACTAAACAACTAATATATATGTAAACCTTCAGATGCCATGTGCTAAGCATAGCTAGCTTAACATTGGATAACATCAGCTAGTACTGATTAGCACACATAACTATTAGCCAGTGCATACTAGGTACAATTAACTTAAAATATTCTGCATATTTTGGAAATATGTTAAGAAAGAGTTCAAGAGAAATATTTTTTTAAAAGATTTGTGAACGCTTTAAATCGATTTTAGCTGGTGTTTGTTGGGAAACTCCAGAACTGAAGTCAAGACAAAGTTAGCTTAGCTTAACCCCTGAAACAAATTGATTTTACATTTCTGTTCTTGTCCAAAATAAATAAGATACATGTAAATCAGCAGGTTTACTGTATTTGTTAACTCTGGACAGACTCAGGCTAGCTGTTAGACCCTGTTTCCAGTCTTTATGCTAAGCTAGGCTAACCACATCCTGACACCAGTTCTGTGCTGAACACACGGACATGAATTTGGTACCTATCTGAACATGTCACTCTCTGAGAAAGAAACTGTTTAAAGTGCTACACAAAAGAACTTCAGAAACATGTTTCCAACACGTGCTACAACAGAAGACATTTCAGAAGACAGTGTTACCGACAAATTGAGTGGAACTTCCAGCTAACATACAGATGCTGTCAGTGTTTTAAACAGATTACACTTTACTTCATTTGGATGCATCTTCTTGTAAGGAGGTATGTTCAAACAGAAACAGGGTTAAGTAACAAGCAGTAACTGTGGAGAAAACTGATGTTCAAGTCCTTGGAAACAGCTCAGGTCAGGCTACAGATGTGAAGGATGGACATAGCTGAGGCTCTGATTTGTCGTTTCAGGTTTGTGGTGTCCTACTGCCCTGTGGACATGTCTTTAGCCACGTCCTCCAGATCATTATACAAATCTGAGACAAAAAAAACAACAGCACGCAATTACTGCATGAGGTGCGCATCAGAAAATACATTTGAACAAAGCTACAAAACAAACCAGAGGACGACTTTTCAGTTGTCACAATGTAAACTGGGCACCTTTTGTTTCTGGGGAGTGTCAAAAATTAATAACTCAGAATAACTCTGAAGTGTTGTGTCGTCTCTAGGTAACAAAATTGGTCGTAGTTTGTGGGTTGGGCAGATGGTGTGATGTCTATTTGATGTAGGTTCGCACTAAAAACCTTCATTCACGTTAAGACGTACCCACACGCTTCTTCACACTATGCTCTGGTCGTCTGCATATGTGGACGTGTTCTCCTCAAAAACAAGCTTCTATTTTGTTTGCATGGTGAAAGAGGTGGTCTCAAATGTGTCATGGTACTGCAAGGTATCTGTGAGTCACAGATGTAAGCCTTTGAGTTAGAGTCCGAGTCACGTCTCTAGTCCCTCATCTTTCCAAGTGAATGAACTAACAAGGTTTACTTTGACACTGTCCCCGTGAGCCGCCACAGACCACCGACCCTTCTCTTGTTGAATTCTGTGAACCCATAGGTAAATATAGAAACTGAATCTAAGTACAGAGAGTGAAACTTCCAGGGTAAACTGGAGGCGGAGTGCATGTCTCTGAGCTTTCTGCCGCCCTGTGATATGACACGGTATAATCCATAATGTTACTAAGGCAAACCTTAGAAATCTGCTGTCTAATCATATAGTTACTTTAGATGACATAGCTCTTGCCTCCAGTACTACTGTGAGGAACCTTGGAGTCACCTTTGATCAGAATATGTCCTTTAAATCCCACATAAACCAAGTATCTAGAACTGCCTTCTTTCACCTGCGCAATATTGCAAAATCAGGAGCATCCTGTCTCAAAGTGATGCTGAAAAACTGGTCCATGCATTTGTTACTTCCAGGCTGGACTACTGTAACTCTTTACTATCAGGATGTCCCAATAATTCCCTAAAAAGCCTCCAGTTAATCCAAAATGCTGCAGCCAGAGTACTGGCAGGAACTAGCAAGAGAGATCATATCTCTCCCATATTAGCTTCTCTCCACTGGCTCCCTGTAAAATTCAGAATAGAATTTAAAATCCTTCTCCTAACATACAAAGCCCTTAATAACAAGGCTCCATTGTATCATAAAGACCTCGTAGAGCCTTATCATCCGAACAGAGCACTTCGCTCTCAGAGTGCAAGTTTACTTGTGGTTCCTAGAGTCCACAGAAGCAGAATGGGAGGCAGAGCCTTTAGCTATCAAGCTCCTCTCCTATAGAACCAACTCCCAGTCTCAGTTCGGGAGGCGGACACCCTCTCTACCTTTAAGATTAGACTTAAGACGTTCCTTTTTGATAAAGCTTATAGTTAGGGCTGGATCAGGTGACCCTGAGCCCTCCCTTAGTTATGCTGCTATAGGCCTAGGCTGCTGGGGGCCCCATGATGCTCTGAGTTTCTTTCCCCTCCCCTCCTGCTCTCCTCTCCTCCCCTCTCCTCTCTC